AGGCGCAGTTCAAGGCTCAGCCATTGGAGCAAAATTCTGCTGCCAGACGTGCCCACCAGACCACAGGTGCTCTGCATTGCTCTCTTGCATTCACCAAGCCCCTTGGAAAAGTGGGATGTATCACAGCCTGACTGAACAAAGCCTTACCACCAAGATTGTAATGAACAATTTTGCCCCCCCCAAAGCTTCCAGGCAGAAGCTTTAAAAGCACACAGGATCCTGGTGCAATGGGGAGTTGACTGCAAACTGCTGATTTATAACCTATTGTTTCATGGTTCAGCATTAGTATAATGTCATTCTTCTGGTCCTTCTCCACTACACACGCAAAATGACAACAAGCAAAAGTTTTGACTGGCCAACTACTATCTTGTCACCACATCAGGATTCCCAAATGATGGAAGAAAACACATGAAATTAGTGAAGATGATTTTGTGCCATTGGAGAACTGCAAAAGTGATAGGATTAGGCCACATCATATTACATGCTAGCCAAAGTCAAAGCTTCCTTATGTGGGTTTATGAGCCTTTGAGAAAGAAAACATTTGTGTTCAAAGTAGAATTGATTACAGTTGTTCTAAAAGAAAGCTCAAGCAGCTGAAGGCTACCGTGCTCTGTGTAGACTAGGATAAAACACATAACTTGCCAATGACAACAACTGGAAAAGAGAGAGGAACTTGCCAACTGAAAGGTGTCTGGCAGATAACACAGAAACAAATTGAGAGGATAAACACAAGCCATGGTGATGCTGTCCATGGAAATCCTTCCCAGCAAGTCGTGAGTATTGCTGAACTGATAACTAGGCAAGAGGATGAAAAGCACACATTACAATGTAAAATTGCACTCAAGGAAAAGATTCATGAAAATGGGTGACTTTTGGCTGGCTTCCATAGCCAAAGCAGCAAGATACTGAGCATTGAGGAACGTCTCTGTTTAAGCAGGGGAGGGAACAACAATTGGTAAAATAAATTCCTTCAGAAACGGTGCAATGCAACTTCCCGCTGCAACGGCTACGGCTGCAGACATGCTAGTCCTGGCCCGTGCCAGGTCACTGAACAGCAGAAGATTAGGTTGTCTCAGTTGAGAAGTGGCCAAGATGCAGCATTGCTTCCTTCTGCTGTTCTGGATCCTGAGCAGTGTGTGGCAAATTTTAAGTGGCTAAAGAAGAGACAAACCACAATTTACGGTTGAGGGGCAGTCAGCTTCTGACTCTGGAAATAAGCTCTGCAAACAGCCTTCAGGGAAACTTGAATACTACTGCTGAAGAAACACATTACATGTTTCCATTGCAGTCATCCTGCTGTTATGTGTAAAACAAAGATTATTTTGGTGGAAATGTGCAAGGAACAACCATTTAATTTATTATGAGATGAAATTCTTAAACTAACATATTATCTAGTTCAGCCTCCTGGGATGATTCACATCTGACCCCTGGCGTCAACAGCTCATTCGATTCATTTTAGAAGATGTGGAATAAAAGAGGTACCGTGCTTTCACACAGAGCGATCAGTTAGCCTAAAGCAAGTTAGTGAGTCAAATCTCAAGACAGCCTTGTGAATCTCAAGCTCACTTACTCACCAAAGGAAAGTTTCGGTGATGGAGCAGAATAACAAAGCCCCTAATATATCGCAGATTCATTGCACCCAGGCCGTGAAGTTTATATTTCCCTAACAACTTGGAGACAATATCATGTGTCAGAGCACATGTACTTGTCATTAGCATTCATTAGAGGAAATGAACATAAATCCCAGATTCAAATGTGTAGTTTGAACATCCTGGGACAATTAAATTATTGATAATTGTTATCTGTCACCAAGCAATAAATCATAAAGTCATGGAGTGGCAGAAGAAAAGCTATCTTGCTGCTGACAGATGCGTAGACTGAAAGATGTGGTGGGCCTTTAATGTTCCAGAAATAATTGCATAAAGGTGAAAGATTTCTTCTCTTGCTTTTTTTCTCATCAACTATAGTATTTCCATACTCAAAACAACACTTTCTCGTGACAACTCCTCTTACTTGGCCTCTACGTTTTCTGACATTTTAATGAAAATGAGGAACGAAGCTGAAAATGAGCAGCCGGTGAAGAGCAGGCCTGGCTTGATGGCTGCCAGTTGGAGCACAGTGCTCTGTGCGGAGCCGGGAGCTGGCTCCCGAACTGTGAAAAGTGATGGATACTCCCTGCTGACGGTAACATCAATGTAAATAAACTGCCCCCACCCCCACCCCGTATTACAAGACTGTGAAAATACAGGAATTGCATAGAGAAAACAAGGAGGGAGCAGAAGACAGCAAATGAACAGGAGAGGCCGACCCCCCCTTTTTAAGTCACTTCATTTTTGCAACTAAAACAAGACTCTATATTGAATTTGTACATCAAATTGCTCTGCGCCGAGTATAATACTGAGCTCCCGGGACGGTATAACCATATTTCCTAAGAGGCTACAGGTTTATGTGGACAAGTCGCAGCTGGTGGAAAGAGCAAGGAGTGAAGGCATTTCCCTTCCAGGCACAGGAGCCGGGGAGCGGCAGCTGGCTGGTGCCCGGTTATACGGAGTGGGAATGCTGGGCCCGGGTGGCTGCGGCTGCTCGAGTCGGTGCCAGGGCTTGAATAGTCTGTCGGGCGCTGCCAGGAGGGCTGTGTGAGCAGCAAGCGGGACCCAGCTTTGTTAGGATGCCTTTTCAGAGGGCTGCAGTGCTGCGAAACTCAATGCAGCTCTGCGGAGAAAGTGGAAGCTTTTCAAATGTACACGCTGTACTGCACCACTCGGAGAGGCCAGGGATCACATTCATTTATTCATTTTCCAACAACTAAATCTCTTTATATTAATTACATGGAATCCACCAGTTTTGGCCAAAAAAGATGTGGGGTTTTTTTTAATACTGATCCTTTGCCTGTGTGGTGACCTGTATCGATTTCAACATTTCTTCTCCTTGTACAGAACTTAAAAACTGCAGGCATGGTAAAGGAAAAGAAAACAGCACAAATAAGTCAGCTTAAGTCTGTGATTAACTGTCTGAGGTCTTAAAACAAAGACTTCAGATGAACTACTCCAACCATAAGGGCTACCAGTGTGAGTGAGAGCGGCAAGCTGAGGCCATTTAATTGTCAGGAACATGACATTTATTGCCCTGACACCTGTATCATAAAATTAAGTTTACTTTAGAACTTATTCCATTTGAAATCCATGCTGAACGGTCAAGAGTGCCTTGAGAGGTCATGTTAAGGACAACAGTTATTGTCAGGGAGTTTTTTTTCCCCTCAACAGTTAGAAAAATAAGCCACCATTTTATGTATTATTCATAAGCAAACTATTTGTGATAAACTATTTGCATCTACAGCTTCTCTCACAGAAAAGATAAAAATAAAATCAAGCCTTTCCTCTTCCAAATGAATTTGGCAATTATCATTTATTTTAGAAGTATTTTTGGGTACAGTGATGAAGCATATGATGCTACTACAGCTGTGACATCAGTATAATAATATGGATATAATTATTCAAAATAACATACCAGGGTAAACATACTATGGGGCAAAGCTGGAAAATACCTAAAATAGCATTTGCTTGGTCACTAGTTGCTGATGGAACTTGTGAGAACCCCATGACTATGTTGGTGTTTGCATTGATCAAAAAATACTACTTGGATTAATATTTTGATCTCCACACTGTCAGCACCTGTCTGTAGTTGGTTTCCTTTAAAATACTCTCTACACCTTCCCTAAGGGCCCAATGCAATCCTCCTTTTTCAGAATTGCATCAGACTTCTAAAATGAAATTTTAAATGAGCCTTCATGTCTGCTTCAGAGAAAACACAAAGAAAAAGTTGGATTTGCATTATGTTTTCCTTAGAAGCTTCTGTCAGCAGTAAAACTAGTTGCCTTGAGTAGCCATGCTAGTTAGAGGAAAAATAATGACAAAATTATTTTACATTATTTTGTAAAATGGCATATTTTACAGCATTACAAACTGCTTCCAAAACAAGAAAATTGTTAATTATTACGGGAAGTAAAAAAAAACTTTCAGAAGTGAGCACTTGACAAACACAAGTTATTTAAACATTTGGGTTTTTTTCAGTTTTGTCAGCAGTTTGTGCTTGTAATTAAGACATTACTGCTCTGAAGGAAATGCCTTAGTACTATTTGTCGAGCATGGGACGTACAGCGGGTCTGTAATCTATAATATCAATAATAATTTATGTGCTTTTTTGAAGGCAGCTCTAATTCTGAACATAATTTTATGCAGAAAAATAACTACATCAATACAATGTTGTCCTCAGTTTAAAAATGAAAAAACCCACAATAAGATTATGTGTAAACGTAAATGTGATACCCTGCTTTTTATTTACAGCTGGTAAATTTTAATTTGAGTTAAACACATGTTAATTAAAACACATTTCACCAGCTACTTATAAAATTAAGCACTATTTTGTTTGATGTTGGTAGAAACAGGAAATTTGGAGTGATGTCTACTGCTACAGCTGTTTGCAGTCCTTATGTAATACCAGATGTGAGATTGATGTATCTGCATTTTGTCCTCTCCTGTGAATTGCAAGTGATCAAACAGGCAAAAACATAATGACAGGATGATTGGACAAGTTTAGCACGAAGGGAATTGTTCAAGACATTCATAAATCACTGCACAACCACACACAGAGTGAAGGAAAATTTACTGTAATGTCACAGATAAGCAAAACCATTTAAATCTACAATGAATTTCAAATGCAAGCGTATTAATTGTAGAAATGCCTTTGACATATCTTAACTGATAGTCTTTTGAAAGATGTAATACTAAAAGACACACAAAACTAGGTGTGTTTTATAAAACCTAGGCATGACAAACCAATAATGTAAAAACAAACATAATTTTCCACAGATTTATTTTCATTATTGAATTATCCTCATATAAATGAGCTCTGCTGTGAAATACAGGTGTTAGAAGGAGTAATCATGTATTTAAATGTAGCTGTATTGCAGAACAAGTTTGTTGGTAAAAGCTGCTAAAGCATCAGCCATACTTTGCTTTTTCTGTTGCTAGAGCCAATCTGCGAATGTTTGCTATGCAACCAGCTGCTGCCTCCTGCAGAGTTTCATCTGTAGAGCCTACCATAGCCAGTAGGAGCTAGCAAAAATACAAAAGAGAAACTGCATAAGAAAAACAAGTAAGTGTGCTATTATTTAAATAATATTCAAATCATATCCAGAACAATTGCATGAATTTATACACACACATAATAAATAAAATACTAAAAATCATATTAACAACACTGTATTATATATGTATGTATATGTATATATGTATACTTTTGTATACATACATGTATTAACATATGCATAGAGCACAATGCTTTATATTTTATCATATTTGTACCTGTGAACTGGTATTTTCATGTCTGATTTTCTGTTTATTGTAACATGCCTGTCTATTGGTTGTGACGGATTTTTTTCTTGTATGTAGTAATTGCATATGCTTTCTTTGAAATCATGGTTTTCCCCCCAAGGTATACTAGTATATTTCTACATGCTCAAGATTTTTAATAAACAAAGCCATGCTTTTTTTTTTTTTTTGCCTTGATCATGAAACTGGATCCATGTGAATGGACCCTTGTGTCCCATTGACTGCAGTAGGTTTCTTTATTGTCAGAGCAAACCACTCCTGTTAAACTGCTTGAGGGATACAGATCTGGGCATATCAGTCTTAAACATTTGCATGTAAAAGTAAAAAACAAAAGCTCAAGAAAGGCACCAAACTTTTGGGGCTGATTCAGCTTTTCAGTAATGTGGAGTAGATCCTTTACTCTGGAAGTCATTCAGTTTTTTCAGTGGAAATTCCCTTGGAGTAAGGTACTGTTCAACACAAGTATGACATAAGACAGGCCTTGATGAAAAACATTTTTACATATCAGAAAACCATTAATGATGGTTTTGGATCTCACTTCTTCAGTGTGTTGCAAGTCAGTGATGCAACTGCAAATGCAATATATGCTGGAAAACAGAAGACCCTTGCTTAGCTTAAATCAGCTCCACGCAATGCTCAGATTTCTGAAAATCTGCCAAGCTTAATGTGCGTTCAGGTATTTTGAAGCTCAGACAGCTCTAATTAAAACCTGTATTTTCAGTCTGCAATACTTAGGATTCTGTGTTCACCCAAACAATGTCGAGTCAAACCACAGAGAAATCTGTTATCACTCAACTCCGGTGCATATTTTTCATACAGCTAAAATATTACACAAAATTATGAACTGCTAAATATAAAAGCATAAATTGAATGCAGACATCAAATTCATATGCTACCTTTTTCTAACCTTCCAGCAATCGTGAGGCATGGGCCACAGCTGCACACATATGGCATTTGCTTAGAGAGATCAAAGCATTTTATACTTGAGGAAGTATTTGTGTTAGCCAAATGTACAAAACAAGCATCTTGCCAGTCACCTTTCACCCTTTGACCCCTACATGTAACTTGCAAGAGTGCCTGTGATAGACCTAAATTATGTCAGAAAGAGTGTTATGTAAATTAAGCATCAATGATAAATTTTTCTAGCAATTCTTCTTCCTATGATTTCCACTGCTGTAATCAGATGTCTATGTACAAGTAGCTAGATAAGAGTTCTTAAAGTATGAACTCTCCTGAAAGGATATGCCAGAGTTAAAATGACATGAGAAGAAATGATATAAGAAAGCTTTATGTTCTTATACTTTATTTGCATGCAAAAGCTGGGCTGGAGTCAGCAACCAGAGAAGTCAGTGGAAGTTTCACCACTGACTTAGCTGGAAGCAAGACCAAGGAGCACGTCTCTGTGTAATGATAAAGCTGCTCTACAAAGCACAAAGGCCAGAATGCAAGTCTTATCAGACGCTTAACTTCTTTTCTTAGGAAACATTTCTGGATGAAGATCTTTCCTTGCTATTTTCCACCAGCTGATTTCTCATCAGCTTAAACTATAAAGTGTTTCTTCGGCTGCCTCACAACTTTCTTGCATAACTTACAGAGGAAAACTGGTATGGATCCTTCATATCCCTGACTCAAACCCCCAAATATGCACGCACATACCGTTCATATGGCGGTTTTGGGAAAGCCATAAGTTTCAAATTTGGGGGCAAGGAAACTATATGCCTTATGTGATTATTCACTGCATCTTCACAGATCTAATGCAAGGCTTTTTCAGTGTGGTGAGCGTGGAACTCAAATTTTCATAATAATTTCAGCATAAGACTTGTTATCAATGCATAAGAGCAGAAGTTCATCACAAAAATAATGTTTTGGAGATACATTATCTAGTAGAAATATAGCAAAAAGCAAAAATAGACCTTTGCCTTTAGTATGACTACATGTTAGGTAGGACTCAATTCAAGGTTATCTATTTCTTCTTTTAGCCACCGCTTCTTCCTAGGCTCAGAAGGCTTAGGAAAATAGGTATTTTTCTGCCACTTTCCATGGAGAGCTCACTATTAAGCAATGACAATGGCTGTAGGGGAGGGTCTGTGCTCTTTGTTGCAGGTGCATTTTGGAAAACCAGGATTAGGTATCAAAGAACAGCATACTACACGACACTGGTTCAAAGTACCCAAATAGATGCCTAAAGAATTAGTGGTACTAATGCAACCAATGCAAACAGCAATTTTCATAAAGGTATCAAATACTGATTTTTTTTTCCGAGTTCAGGGGATCAAGGATCAGTTGCTCTCTAATTTGTTGTTCTTCTAAATCACTTGCCAGTGGTAACATCTGTAAGGACTGCCACGTCATACAAAATCCTGTACTACACTGTAGTACACAGGATTTTCACAATACGACTTCAAAGAAATATTCGTAGAAACACCCTCCAATACAGTAGCTGCCTCTGAGGACTAAGGTTATACAGCAACGTTTATCAGTTAACTTACTCCTTTTGTGCTAACATAAAGACAGCTGAAGAGATTATCGAAAATGCAAAATATCTCAATATAAGGAGGTAATTCCATGTTTAGGAATCTCCCTTTGAAGATTTTGATATAAATCCTGCCTTAAATGAAATAAAATTTTATTCTTTTTGTATATACCAAGAAAGTTATCATTCTTTTACTTCGTGACTGCCCATCCTTGACCCTTTCATGGGTTCAGTTCAATTTACTGGCAATTTGGATGATCCAATTCAGGTATAGAAATGTATTCATAGATAGTATATACAGACTATACCCACATATTAGATAAATTTAACAAGTTCAAGAAATCTTTTTTTATTCCAATGCACCAGTGCAATATAACATGTCCTTTTTCTTGATGCAATGCCCTTGAACTTCATGTATCCCTTCCCTTTACTGTTCAGGTATTGTTTTCTGACACATGTAAATGTTAACAGATGTGAGAAGCAGTAAAAAAGCATGTGGTATAAATGCTTCTTTCTGGCACGTAAGAAGCACTTTCCATAGAGAAAGCATTTGCCGCACTATGTAGCCTTCATTTTCTGTTGGCAGGTATCTATATTCTAAGGCGAGAGTCCAAAATTTTTTGCACAGTTAGCACGTCATACCAGCAAATAAGCACAAATACAAGCTGTTTGGAGAACGTACAGAGCATATGTAGCATTTCTGGGTTCCAAAAGCAAAAGCATTGCACAGCCAAATCATTTAAATATTCAGAACAATTAAGATTTTGCTATTACTATCCCAGCTTTAAAATAGCACAGAATTGTGATACTATATTAGGATTGCACACTCATAGAATAATTCAGAATGGAAGGGATCTCAAGAGGTCTCTAGTCCAATGTCATACTCGAAGGAGAGTCAGCTACGAGGTTAGACAAGATTGCTCAGGTTTTTATCCAGGCTGATCCTGAAAACCTCCAAGGATGGAGATGGCACAACCTCCTTGGGCAACCTATTGCAGTGTTTGACTGTTCTCGTAGTGAAAAAGGTTTTCGCTGCATTCAGTTACTCTTGCTTCAGTTTACACCTGTTGTCTCTCATCCTTTTGCCATGCATCACTGTGAAAAGCCTAGCTCTATCTCTTTGATGACTGACCTTGTAGGTACTGGAAGGCTGCTATTGAGTCTGCTTGAAGCTCTCTCTTCTCTAGGCTGAAAAACCCCAGTTTCCTTAGTTTCTTCTCACAGGGCAAGTGCTCCAGCTCTTGACCATCCTGGTGGTCCTCTGCTGAACCTATGATGGTTTATCCATGTCTTTTCCATACCGGAGGCCAAAGCTGGGTGCAGTATTCAAGGTGTGTTCTAATGAGTACTAAGGGGAACAATCACTTCCCTCAATCTACTGGCTGTGCTCCTGCTCATGCAGCCCAGTATTGTGTCGTCTTTGCTGTCAGGGCACGTTGCTGGCTAATGTTCTGCTTGCTGTCTACCAAAATCTCCATACTCTTTTCAGTAAAACTGCTCCTCAGCCAGTCAATCCCTAGCCTGGATCACTGCAAGGCAAGTGCAAGTGCAAGTCCTTCTCAGGTGCAGGACTTTGCATTTGTCCTTGCTGAATTTCATCAAGTTCCTGTTGGCCCAGCCCAGGCCTGCCTAGCTATCTCTGAATGGCAGCCCTTCCCCTGACTGTATCGAAACCGTCCCCCTTGCCCCAAATGGCGATTTGGTGTCATTGCAAACTGTATGAGTAAGCAGTCCATTGCCTTCCCCAGGTCACTGACAAACATGTCAAATGGGACAGGTCCCAACAGAGAGCGGCCTTTGGCACTCCCCTTGTCACAGGCCTCCAGGTAGAGCACAACCCATTAACTACTACCCTCTGAGCTGGACCATCCAACCAGTTTTAATCCGTTTGGTTGCTCACACATAATAAGACTATAATACATTGTTAACTTGGACAGAAGCATGCTGTGGGAAACAGAGTTGAAAACCTTGCTGAAGCCAAGGTCCATGACATCCACTGCTCTCCTCTCACCTACAAACGTAGGCACATAGAGGGCAATCAGGTTTACCTTGGTAAATCTAAGTTGACTGTTCCAAATCACCTTCTCCTTCTTGTGCCCAGAAATGTGTTCCAAGAGGACTCCCTCTGTAATTTCCCCAGAGACCAATGTGAGGCTGACCAGTCTGTGGTGCCTCAGACTGGGAGGAGGAATAGTTGCTCTGAAGACACGCTTTGCAAACTCTTATTGTTGGGTCTTACGCTCTCTGGCAT